ACTCACAAGCCCCCGGCTGAGCGCCGTCTTGTTGGAGTTCTCCCCGGAGAACGAGAGGGTCACCTCTCTGCGACTCTGTGTTGCAGAGGGGAAAACTCTGACTGTTGTTTGTGCTTATGCACCGAACAGCAGTTCGGAGTATTCGGCCTTCTTGGAGTCACTGGGTGGTGTCCTGGAAGGGGTGCCGCCCGGGGATTCCATCGTTCTCCTGGGGGACTTCAATGCTCACGTGGGCAATGACGGTGAAACCTGGAGGGGCGTGATTGGGAGGAATGGCCTGCCTGATCTGAACCCGAGTGGTGTTTTGTTTTTGGACTCCTGTGTTAGCCACAGATTGGCCATAACAAACACCATGTTCGAACATAAGGTTGCTCATAAGTGTACTTTGTACCAGAGTACCGTAGGCCAAAGGTCGATGATCGACTTCGTAGTCGTATCATCAGATCTGCGGCCGTATGTTTTGGACACTCGGGTGAAGAGAGGAGCAGAGCTGTCAACTGATCACCACCTGGTGGTGAGTTGGATCCGATGGCGGGGAAGGCTGCCGGACAGACCTGGGAAACCCAAACGCGTAGTGCGAGTGAACTGGGAACGTCTGGCAGAGGCCCCTGTCCGTGGGATTTTCAATTCCCACCTCCAGAAGATTTTTTTCTGCATCCCAGGGGAGGTTGGGGACATGGAATCAGAGTGGTCCATGTTCAAAGCCTCCATTGCAGAAGCAGCCGTTAGGAGCTGTGGCCAGAAGGTCACTGGTGCCTGTCGCGGCGGCAACCCCAAAACCCGCTGGTGGACACCGGTGGTGAGGGAAGCCTGGTTGGCTCGGGGGTCTCCTGAGGCAGCAGGCAGGTACCGGCTGGCCAAAAGGGCTGCAGCTGCGGCGGTCATGGAAGCTAAAACTCGGGTGTGGGAGGAGTTCGGGGAGGCTATGGAGAAGGACTTTCGGTCGGCCCCGAAGAAGTTCTGGCAAACCGTCCGACACTTCAGAAAGGGGAGGCAGGGATTCTCACAGGCTGTGTACAGTCGGGGAGGAGAACTGCTGACCCAGACTGGGGACCTCGTCGGGAGGTGGAACGAGCACTTCGAGGAACTCCTGAACTCGGTAAACACGTCCTCTGATGAAAGGGCAGAGCCTGAAGACTCAGGGGCTTCTGCGTCCATATCTGTGGTTGAGGTCACCGAGGTAGTTAAGAAGCTCCTCGGTGGCAAAGCGCCAGGTGTGGACGAGATTCGCCCTGAGATACTGAAGGCTCTGGACATTGTCGGACTGTCATGGCTGACACGTCTCTTCAATGTCGCGTGGGCATCGGGTACAGTGCCTGTGGAGTGGCAGACCGGGGTGGTGGTTCCCATTTTTAAAAAAGGGGGACCGGAGAGTGTGTGCCAATTATTGAGGTATCACACTTCTCAGTCTCCCCGGGAAAGTTTACTCTAGGGTGCTGGAAAGGAGGCTTCGGCAGATTGTCGAACCTCGGATTCAGGAGCAGCAATGCGGTTGCCGTCCTGGTCGTGGAACAGTGGACCAACTCTTTACCCTTGCGGAGCTGCTGAGGGGGGCATGGGAGTTCGACCTGCCAGTTCACATGTGCTTTGTGGATCTGGAGAAGGCCTATGACCGTGTCCCCCGAGGAACTCTGTGGGGGGTACTGAGGGAGTATGGGGTACCGGGCTCGCTGCTACGAGCCATACGGTCCCTGTACAACCAAAGTGCGAGCTGTGTCCGCATTCTCGGCAATACGTCGGACACGTTCCCAGTGGGTGTTGGACGCCGCCAGGGCTGCCCCTTGTCACCGATCCTGTTTGTGGTTTTCATGGACAGGATCTCAAGTCGCAGTCAGGGAGAGGAGGGTGTCCGGTTTGGGGAACTTAGGATCTCGTCTCTGCTTTTTGCAGACGACGTGGTACTGTTGGCTCCATCAGACCGTGACCTTCAGCACTCACTGGAGCGGTTTGCAGCCGAGTGCGAAGCGGCAGGGATGCGGATCAGTACCTCCAAGTCCGAGGCCATGGTTCTCTGCCGGAAACCGGTGGACTGCCACCTCCGGGTGGGGGGGGGAGTTGCTTCCTCAAGCGAGGGAGTTTAAGTATCTCGGGATCTTGTTCATGAGTGATGGGAAAATGGAGCGTGAGATGGACAGGCGGCTCAGTGCGGCGTCAGCAGTAATGTGGGCGCTGTACCGGACTGTCGTGGTGAAGAGATTTACCAGTCCATCTATGTCCCAACCCTCACCTATGGTCACAAGAATGAGATCTCGGATACAAGTGGCCGAAATGAGATTCCTCCGCAGGGTGGCTGGGCTCAGCCTTAGAGATAGGGTGAGGAGCTCAGACATCCGGAGGGAGCTTGGAGTAGAGCCGCTGCTCCTTCGCGTCGAAAGGAGTCAGTTGAGGTGGTTTGGACATCTGGTTCGGATGCCTCCGGGGAGGCTTCCTCTGGAGGTTTCCCGAACTCGTCCACCTGGGAGGAGACCCCGGGGCAGACCCAGGACCCGCTGGAGAGATTATATCTCTCGGCTGGCCTGGGAACGCCTCGGGATCCCCCAGGCAGAGCTGGAAAGTGTCGCCAGGGGGAGGGAGGTCTGGGACGACCTGCTCTGCCTGCTGCCCCCGCGACCCAACCCCGGATAAGCGGAAGACAATGGATGGATGGATGGATACTGAAGTGTGCATCTCTGGTACATATCATCTTTTTTTTTTTTTTTTTTTTTTAATCACCCAGACTTCACATACACTGTAAATATTTTTAAGAATAAATGATGTGCTGTAGGAGACTGAAGACATTGTAAATAGTGATGTCAACTGACAGCTGATGAAGGCAGATGTGGTTTGTGTCCCTTTCATGCAGCGCATCCAGATGTCTACTGTCTCACTGTATATGTGGCAGGATGAGGGTTTAAAGGGTTCACTGGTAGCTGTTGCAGGACTCACCCAGGATTACACAGCAGTCCCCAGCTGCATGTTTAAGACCTGTGTGGCCCCAGCCAGCTGGAGCCAGTACTGTGGATGGCTGATAGGTGTGGCTGACAGACTGAGTAATCCTGGAAACCTTTCTGCAGAGGAAGCAGCTATCTTCTACTG